CTAGTTCCTTGAAAATCTTTCCAAAGTTCCTCGTATATTGGTGGTATGGAACTGAGATGTATTTATCTCGGTTTTCGTCCTTTCTGAAAGTCGAGATTTCGTTTATTCTTAACCTAAACTTCTTCTTCCTTATTATGCCATCTACAATACCCCTCGAGAAACCGTTAGTGGCTGCTATTTCCTGTATTGTACGTCTTTCTTTTGTGAACCTATCATGTGTTAGAGGTTCACATGATAGGTTTCAGGTATGGGAAATATAATAGTAACTCACCTTTATTTTGTCTGTAGTATCTGAAAATATATAAAAAATATAGGGTGTTCCATAAGAAAAAATATAACTTTGCTATGTAACTTTTTTGGGAGCAACCCTGTATATTTCAAAATGATTTTGGAATATGCTACCCATGGTCCCACATATAACTGTTCTGAACTCTCTTCATTTCTCGTAGAAATGCCGAGGCAAATCTGTTGAGTCACCCTGTATAAGATGTATAGGACGAAATTGCAGCAACGTTAGTTACAAATAAAAGTGGTGAAATAGATAGGAAGTTTCAATTCTCTTTTCTTCATTGAAATATAATTGTGATAAAAACTTTTTTCTTATTCCACAGAGTTTTGCGGAAGATACTCCAAAGCTGAGTTCCTCAGGAATATACTTGAAGGGAGACGACTACCATTTCCGATCAAAATACAGAATATGATGAGCAACTCTCCGTCTTTCTCAAAGGCATTTAAGTGTAGTGATGGATCAGCGATGACCCTAGATAGTTCTGTGATGGTACAATTCCCCTATAAATCTGAAGCTATCTACTATGAATATGAAGAACCATCTCTCAGTAACGATTTCTAATGAGAATCTACAGTGTCACCGATAAAGTCCGCATCAAATGGGAAGCTTTTTTTTTATCGTTTTATGTGAAATTTGATTTTGGCAGTAGATTTTGCTCAAGAAATGATGTCAAATGGCGTCTACAAAATAGGTCNGAATATAAACTGAAGCTTTATATTTAATGAATAAACACCTCAGGAACCTCCGCCTATGATTTTACGAGTTTTACGACCGTTTTATGACTTGGGCCCTCATTTTGTGCTATCGACAAATTATGAACGGACTATAGTGTTAGCGAACACGTTTTTATTTTAGCAGATGATCACCCCGACATTATATGTTTAGGCAATTACTATGCACCTGATGTTCTTTGTTTAATTTTTTTTGCTATTTTAATATCAGTTTTTTATTTCTTATTCAATGAATGTTTAGAATGTACGTTGATTTGTCATTCAGTTGGTTTATAACAAACATCTAGTTAACCAAAGCAACTTCCTACCTGTTTGGGAGCAGCCGCTCGATTCCAAACAGGAAGTCTATTATTGTGGCGTTTCGGATTTTCCCAAACATCTTCTCCAGCATATAACTCCCTTGCCGTAGAGAGGGTAAATTCGAGCGTTCCGAGAGTATGAAGTACGTCTGGTTTGGGACATTGCATAAAATCAGGTAGACGAGGTGGCTCATTCTCTACCTATGGTAAGTGTCCAAAACACCAAACTATAGGAAGGCCCCTCACATGTGATTGAAAAACGCTAAATAAAAGAAAGGATTTAACTTTTCATCCCTCAGTGAGAAAATATCATATACGCACCACAGGTAAAA